AGAAATTTGCGACTGCCTTCGCTCTCCTTGTCGTAAATTCTACATTCAGTTAAAATACGTTTCACCGTAAGGGCACAAAGTGTACAAATATGGGGGGGGAATCTTCTTTCTTCGTTAAAAGGGAGTGGGTGAGGAGGGAGCAATATTTTATTCTCACTCGACGAGACGTATACGTTTAACAAACGTATTATTTTATTCGATGTTTTACAGTGCTCGCATACAATTATTGAACCAAACCCATTTCTACAGAAACCAAACGCTATTATTATTTCCATAACCTTTTACGGTTAATTATTTGCTTCGACGTGAATGATATGTATAATAATTATAGAGTTCGCGATAAAAGTCATGGCTAGTAGCGGTTATAAAAACAATACATCTATTCGGTATAAAAAACAATTACAAACAATATACATTGACATAATCGCTTTATTGATTTATGAACGACGACGTTTGTAAGCCGAACGTTCGATCGCTGCAGCCTATTGCAGTGATTAGAAATATTATAATTCGAAAACTAAAAATAATTGCTCAAAAAACTTCGCCCTGCCATTCATACGAATAAAAGTTGTAATAATATTATAATCGAAGCGATATGACCAGGGTTTCCGAACGGAACGCAAATAAACGGTTAAAGAACATTATTGTTGTTCATGAACCAAAATATAATGGAACGAAACCAAATATTTAATTTACCTCATTGGTCCTTCATATGAAATAACATTATAAACTATTAAGTTTACTGAATTTTTTCATAAAAAACGTTATAATTTTTAAAGTTTTTTAAATAATTGACATGAGGAGCATCATAACCTATAAAGTTATTTGAACAATTACTAGAAAAACGTTATAACCTATTGAGTTATTTGAACAATTACTAGAAAACGTTATAACTTATTAAGTTCTTTGAACAATATTACTAAAAAAACGTTTTAACTTATTAAGTTCTTTGAACAATTACACGAAGAACGCAATAAGCTAATATGTTCTTCAAACTTTTAACACATAGAACATCACGAACTAAACCGTTCTTCGAACTTTGAAAATCACGTTATTAATTATCTTTTGACTACTTTTCCGATCATTTATTTTTGACAACAAAAAATGATATAATAATATAGATTATAGGTAATAAGTTATTATGAGTAATAATATAGTAACATAATACATCAATTAATAATAATGATAAATAAATAATAATCAATTTAAACCATGAATGAATAATAATAATAAATAAATAAATAATAATCAATTTTAACTAAAAATGAATAGTAATGAATAAATAGTATAAAAAAATAAATAATAATCAATGAATACTTTAAATATTATATAAGAATAAGTACAGTAGATTAATATTTAACTTTTATCAAATAAATAGTTTGATCGTACAACCATTATGTCTTCCAGTAAACTGGGGTTCATCCTATTTCGTTGATCATTCAATATGAATTTCAAACTGGAAAAAAGACGTTCCACTGTGACCTATTTATGACTGTATAACGATAAAATATATAGTTACACCGAATTTAAGATCATCGGATCGATGTACAAATCGTAATAGTTAATGCAATATTTTGTGTTTGGATAATAGCAATATATTGTAAACCGGCGTTCGTGTTTGATAATATACGTCTTATTAAAGCACGTGACCTTTTCCGAATACGAATAATATATGTTTGTGCGTCGAACGACGATAAATGTTTAAAAAATGTAAAATAACATTCGACATAAGTTTTGCTCTTATCGAAAGTCATGATCAATTATTATGATATCGTGTTGTATATAAAACTGTATTTTATGACATCTACGTCTATGATAATAACGGGAAATACGATTGTACATCAACATGCGGAAAATTATATTCAAAAATTTAAACAATACGATGCAAGGAGTCTAATAAAAAATGTATGTGAGAGTCGATCCAATGATGGAATTAATAAAAATCAAATAAAAAAGGCAATAAATAAAACGGTTAGTGATCTTGATGATAATCTTTTTGTGTATCGCAATAACATTACGTACGTCTAAACATAAAATCTTATAATATAATATATACGGATCAAAATTTCGGAAAAAGAAATGGTGTTGACGAAAAAAAACTGTTTTTTTTCCTGAGAAATTTGAATGAAAAAATGGTTTTTTTTCTAAAGAACTGAAAAAGTAACGTTTAGTGGAAACAATCTAATAAATAATGATGGTTGACAATCATATTACATACATATTATATAATATACCATACCCAACTTAAAGTCTGTAGTGGATAAATCTAGAGGATTCTATACTTGATTTATAAATAATTGTAATATTAACTACTAAAGTACTAGGTAACTATATATTAAGTATTTACTATGTAGTTATTTATTATTAGTTATTAATAATATTTAATATATTTATAATATTTTATATTTAAATATATATTTAATATATTCTAATACCAACTTATCAAGTTCAAAAATATAAAAACTATCAAATAGTTACTATAGTCATTACTCACCACTCACCAGTCACTGTAATATAATTTATAAACCTATCAGCCAGTTACTATAATAACCTCTGTGAACATGACAGCACAACATTAGCAGACATCGATCCAATCAATCCAACAAATTTGTTGGTGGATTGTTGGACATTGTTGGACAACTTTCAGAATTTGTTGGACATTATTTTCACCAGGGGGCCAATTTCCAACTTTGCGCTGCCAAGTTCACGACAGCAGCGCAACTCATTGTTGGGACATGTTTTTTGTGCTAGACTTGTTCGTCTCCATTTGTTGGACACTGTTGGACAACTTTCAGAATTAGTTGGATATTATTTTCACCGGAATAAAAAATTCTAGTTGCGCTGCCAAGTTCACGCCAGCAGCGCAACTCATTGCTGGGACATGTTTTTTGTGCTAGACTTGTTCGTCTCCATTTGTTGGACATTGTTGGACAACTTTCAGAATTTGTTGGACATTATTTTCACCGGGGGGCCAATTTCCAATTTTGCGCAACTCATTGTTGGGCCTTTTTTTTTTGTGCTTGATTTGTGCTAGGTATTTCAGAATACCGGTATACCGTGATTCGGTAATTACCGTTGTTACCGAAAATAGGAGAGAGAATAAGAGATAGACTATAAGAGTCCTTTTTTGAGATTACAACAATTATAAATTATAAAGGAACCCCTAATTTCAAAAAATGTATCACTTTATTCTCAGTTGATAAGTCCTATGTCCTATCCATTCTTATAATATTTATGACAGATAGATTATACATTTATAGATTATAGATTCTATAATGGACTGGAAGTCTGGAAACGATAGCCTATAATCATTAGGCTATCGTAGGGCTGGCGGTATTTTTCTTACACCGATAATTACCGGTATTTTCGGTAATTACCGGGGTACGATATTTTCGGTAATTACCGCACCTCACGGTAATACCGTAGATACCCGTAGTAAACAAAAACCGAATACCGGTATCATAATTTTAAATACCACCAGCCCTAGAATATATAATAAAATTTAAATAAAATTAAAATATTTATCACCTTTAAATATATTATAATAAAAAATGTAATATTAGGAAAATATTTAAATAATTTTTTTAAATATAAAATTAAAAATTAAATCAAGTGGTGTTTAAATAACTGAGTATAAAATTAAAAAATTAAATAAAAGTAAAATATTTAAAAGACTGAGTATATAATAAAAAATTTAACATATGGAAAATATATAAATATATTTTTTAAATATAAACCAAAAAAAATGAAATAAGGTTTTTCAATAACTCTCGAGTATAAAATAAAAAATTATATAAAAGTAAAATATTTAAATAACTATTTGAGTATATAAAAATAATGTAATATAAGAAAAATATTAAAATAATTATTTACATTTAAAATAAAAAAAAATTAAAAAGAAAAGTTTATAAATATCTTCGAGTATATAATAAAAAATTAAAATATTGAAATAACTGAGTACATAATAAAAGATTAAATAAAAGTAAAATATTATAAGTTATAATATGTAACAAAATTAATCACATCTAACAAAAAATAATGCATGAGGCGTTATTTCAATTCTTTCTGATTTCAGAACATTTATTTTTCTGCAAAGATCGTCATACACCTCCCAAAATCCATTTGCACGACGAACATATGACTTATAATGACCCATGGAACCAACGTCCGAGTTTATAAACGCAATAGCCGCTACAAATCTGAAACTATTAATACAAAATATGGCTTTTTAGAACATTTTCATAAAATATGTAAGAATAAAGAAAACATGAACTTGTTTTTTATGAAAATACATGAATTAGGTATGAATCAAATGTAAATATTTTTACCTATGAGTTTCTATCAGTATTGTATCAGGCAGATCCTGTATTTTGCATTTAATTTCTTCTGGTTTATCAGATGTTTTGGTATTGGTCTCAATAAAGATATGTCGTCCTAGATGTTTTGTTACTGTTATTGTTCCATTACATCCATCTCTATAACATTTTCTGGTATAATGGCTTAATTGAGTTGGTTTCATACTGTCAATTGAATTTTGAAAATATTTGAACGATCCTAAAAAATGTATTGTTAAGACAATGCGTGTTATATTATTTTTTATATTAATATTAATAACATATTATATAAACCTGTAACTAATGTTCCCTGATCAATTGGAAAAAGTGGAATATTTGCCACCGATTGACCACATTTAAAATTATCACATGTATGATATTGAAAAATACTAGGGTCGTCAATAAACAGCTTATCGATAAGGATCGCCACATTAACTTGTGCATCCAACTCTGTCAACTCGCCAATAAGCTGATTTCTCTTACAATAATCTCGAAGTACAATTATGCGTTCTTCGTAGAATTTTCTGTTTGCTCCTTCTTTAACTAAATGGCTAGCTAATTTTGACGTTTTACATAACGCGTTTGTATCAATGCTATTAGAATATTCTTCCGAATCAAGATATGCTGAAGCCATTGCCTGTATTACTGAATCAAATGCGCAAGTATTTATGTTTGATACTTTTTTTTATCTTTCTGCAACCTTAAAGGTCGCATACAATTACCATTTCTTATTAAATCGATTCTTTTTTTGGAAATTTTTTTGTTGATTTTTTGTTTCAGTTTTATCTCCGGATGAGCGTCTAAATAAACGGTACGTTTCGCAGTGGTTTTTTTTATTATAGGGCTTGGTGGACTTGCTTTATTTCTCCAGTTTTCGAATTCTTGTTCTTCATGATTATTACTAATACTTGATCTACAATCGACTTCAGAATCAGAATTTCCACTTCCACTTGATTCACAATCAATTTTATCATGATTATTGGAAATAACCTCAACCTTACTACTGGGGAAATTAACTTGTATAGAACTATCTTTGATAGAATTGTCTAATTTCATTTTTTTAATTTCTTTTTCATTTATATTTTCATTCACAGCAGCAAGTTTAATGTCACCCCTGATTGCTCGTAAATGAGTCACTAAAAATTTATCTACGCGCATTCTTGCTGTTTTCTTTGATATAATCGACGTTTTAAGTGTAGAAAAATATCCCTCAACTCTAGAAGATGATAGCCTTGGTTTAGGTGAACCAAAATGTTGCACCATAACGGCTGACCATAAAGGAAATTCACTACAAATTCTCATCAATGGTTTTATCAAGTCTGGACAATAAAGTGCGCTAATTCTATCACCAACGACATTTGATTTTTCTATTGATGAGAATTTAATTTCATCTAACCAGGTATTTATTGTTGATTTAGTTTGTTGATTGTCCTCATATAAATCCTTTGGGTTTTCTTCATCAAAAAAAAATGTGTCTTCAATGCTTATACCTTTATAATCGTCACTAGTGTTTTCATTAATTGAAATGTCTATGTTCCCTCGTGAAATAGACTCTATTAAATTCTTACGTGCATCTTCGGCAGGTGTATTTTTTAAATTATTGTCTACTCCATCCGTGTTAGCACATGCAACAATGATTATCATTTCCAATGCACTTTTGAACATGTTTATATTTTGAGATTTAATGAGGAGACTAATACAACGAACATAAAAATCTTTTATAGGTTTACGTGCTGATAGACATTTCCATCGACATAACATATGTATGATATGTGCAACGTCTACCCTCACATAACACTCTGGAAGTAAGGATTTTTCACCGGTTAGAAAATCGAAACACATGCTGTTGTATTCTTTTAAAGACTTTCGGTTGCAAAAAGCTCTTGTAATAGCACCAAGTAATGCTTTTGAGTAGTCACATACGCATTCATTTGGTATAATAACAGTGTTAACCCAACTCGCCATCCAATAGTAAATAGATAGCATATCCTGCTTTTCAGATAGCTGTTGAGCTATTGGGACAGTTTGGTCTTCGATTTCTGCAACCATTTGGTATAAAAATATATGCGCTGATGTGATTTTACTTTTGGTTCGCATAATAGGTAGCACGAGAGATCCTGTAGCATCAACTGATATTGTCGTCCATGTCTTGCTACGTTTTGATTTATATATATGTTCTTGAGTAGGCAACCAATAATGACAAAAAAATGGATCACTACCAATACTGTGAATGGTCCCACTATGTTCAACTTCGTGTTTTAAAGAAACTATACTATTAATGGGGTCATGTCCAACGATACTTAGTGTATTATCTATGTATTGCTGCTTAGCTTTTCTGAGCACAGAACTTTTGTATAAAATTGGTGGTTCTACTTCTCCATAATCAATTAACTTATCAACCGTCTTTCGTCGCCATTGACTAGCACCACTGTTTATAATATCTTCACAGATTAAACTTCGTTTTGGTTGCTTTAAAAATCTTTTATTGGTGTGTTCAATACCTGTAGTGTTAATAGCTAAAAAATTTACTGTTACATTTTCTCCGGACTTTGGTTCATTTTTAACCCCACCAAAAAAACTAGCACGGCAATTTTGATCACTGCATCGACCTTTAAATGAAATATAATCGCTATGTATAGGTTCTGGAACGACGTGATGATATTTGACGGAAAATGAACATGGAAATCTATATTGTTCAAAAAAATGATCTAAAAATACGTCAACCCAACCTTTTTGCAATTTCCAAACGTTTCGTGGTCCTATTTTAGTTGTTTGAAATGTCATTCTTGGCTTAATAGGCTCATATGACAAATATGGTATGGTCACATTATAATTTTTTGCGTGTCTTTCATTTCGTTTCAAGCTTTTCATAGAAAATGATGTATCTATTAACAGAAGAATAGAATATATAATAGTTTCAGTATGTTATTTTATCATAATATAAAGTCATTTTTAACCCGTATAGTATTCTAGTATGTTAATTAAATCTAACGACATCTAAGTTTTTATCATAAGATCATACATTAAAATATGAATAATTTTCATTCAAATTTACATTAAATATTATTGTTTGAATACTTATACTGCCTATACAGCTACAGACGTTACGTTTTGGCCCCCATTTTTAAAATTTTATATTTAGTATACAAATCATTACATTTTAATTTATAAGTATTTCTTTACTTCTTTCAACGTAATGATATTTTTGACAAGAAATTGCATACAAAGAATTGTACAAATAACAATTCTGAGAAAAGGTAGGTCTGTCAGCATATACAGGGTCATTCTGATATCATGAAACACTCAGTATTTCAAAAAGTATTAATGTTTTTGAAAATATTTTTTTACATAGTTTCAAGTTATTATAGTCAATAATTAAGATAATTAAGGTAATTAAATGCAACTTACTATCTATTTTTTAAGAATATGGATATGTACCTAATTAATTCTTAGTTACGATTTGTATGATAATTTATTAATACAATGAAAAGAGCGTTTCATACTAGAATATTTTTTTTCAAATAAGAGAAAAAAATCAGTAAGTTTACTGTCGTGTAAAATAAAAAAATTAGTTATTACATAATTTGAAAATAAGACATTTTATTCAAGCATAATATACTACTTATTCGTATTAATATGTTAATTAAGTACTTACCGATCTTCAGTAATAGATATTAAATTATATCAATAGACTGCAATAGCACACGTCTTTGTAGTCATGAGATTGTGACGATAATGATAAATGGTAATATCATTATCAAAATAAAAAAAAAATATAACATTTAGGATACATCTACATGATATGATTATCACATACAATAAAAATAAACATGAAGTTGAACAATTCGACATTCGGCTTATTATTCAATTCTTCGTGTGAATTATTTTTATTTTTTATAGATATCATAAAAACTTGATAACACAATATTGTTTTTTTTTAAATCAATATATTATTTTCATGGGCTTTTTTACTCGTACAATTATTATTATCATAAATCCAAATTATTTAAACACTAAAGGTGTCATTTTCGGCATCAATCGGGCTCTGGCAGCCATCGCCGATCCGAAATCGTCATTCGTCACTAGTAGGTACATGAAACCATTGATAATATTATATTTCATTAATTATGAATAATTATAAATAATATTATATATTATATTTTAACTTTAAACTATCTGAAATACGTCTTCCGTCAATTGGGCACCGCATTAATATTTGTTTAAAAATATTAATAATTTAAATAAATAATACCAGTTATTATTTTACGTTATTTTTGTTTTTATATGGTCGTCGTAGTCGTGCTTAAACTATTACCTATTAGAAATAATTATAATTGTGATTCCTGATTTAAAAATACGCTCGTAAAATAGTACACTATTCTGCATTGAAGTAAAAACCAAGTTACCTATATACCTGTATAAAAACAAATATACAGAAACAAATAAATGCTATCTAAAAATAATATAATAATTTATCTACCAGTAAAAAAATTGTCCAAATATTTTGAGGAAGTGAATGCGAAAGTAGGTACAAAACAAAATCAGCCAATCCACTGAAATAAACTTGTAAAGTTTGTTTGGTTGATCGTTGTTAATGTACAAACTTCTAAGTTCTAACATATAGGTAATATATCATTATTCAAAATTACTTATGTATTATTTTAATTAAATAATGCGTAGTAGAAGATATTATATTCTAAATCATTTTATAATGTGAAACTTCTTTACAGACGATATTAAAAAAAAGAAGTGACTGTTTTTTTTTATAAAAAATAAACCATAGACACGTTTTTATTATAATTAACTATGGCAAAATAATCATTTTAATTTTTTTAAATTATAGATAGCTATTACGAATCGAACTATTCTGATATACAACAATAAAATTATATTATCTAGCGGACAGACAGAGTGGTTTGCGATGAAAAAATTGATTATTATTCAAACTATTTTCGTTGTCCCTATTGGGAATCGACACCGCGCGCGGTAGATTAAAAATGGCGCACGGAACTAGGCATGTGGTCCTACCAGCGCGGCGGCAACAAGCTGTAGTGCCACGGAACCGTGATCGCAGAATATTATAGAGTATTGACATTTGACTGTCTCAACTCTCAATATCTCATACTATTAAAGTACCCTTCCCTTAATAGGTATCGGGTAGTAGATTAGTGGAAAAGTCTTAGAATTGAGGTGGCAACTAAAATATAAAATTTAATCATAGGTACTGTTATTAAGAGGATGCTACCCATGCATTTGTTGTCTCCGTCTTACACACGTACGACATAGCAAATTTTCATTCACTAGTTTCAATAATAGTGTGCTGTTAGTTTTGATATTAGAGTGATCTGACTTAATATAAATTTTTTAGATAATAACATTAGGTATCTGTGCTTAAGCGTTGGCTTTTTTTCGTTATTTTAATTTTCAAGCGAGATATGAACATTTTTAATTTTTGATATTTTACATACCTATATATTGCTTGAAAATGAAAATTTTGAAAAATCGGCAACGCTTAAGCACAGATAATGTTCTTACCTAAAATTTTATAATAGGTCAATTCACTCTAGTATCAAAACTAACAGCACACTATTGAAACTAGTGAATGACAATTTGATATGTCGTGCTTGTGTAAGACGGAGATAACAAATCTATGGGAAGCGTCCTCTTATATTATTTATTATATATATTATATATATTATATTATTAGATTCCGTTAAATTTTCGTAAAATGGTAAACCATCATGTTGTTTGCATTATTTTAACGTTATTGTGACCCCATGCATATTATACCAATTGAAAATTTAAGTCTTATTAATGGCGAATGGGCCATAATAAAAAATTAGTATAAAATAGCTAAAAATAAACTGTTATCATCATAGACTTATGGTTATTATTCTATTGTAGATATTCCTATACTATTATATTATTCTACAAGTCTATGGTAATCATTAGTTAGTTGATTGTTTTCATTAAACCCCTTTGTCAATACTTCATTTTGTAGTACCTATATCATATAAGATAAATTACCGTATACCTACCTATGCGAAATGGATACAATTTTTCTATCAGAAATTTACAATGGTGGACAAGTTAATGATTTTTCTTAACTCAGTTAAGTTTAAAGTAAATACACACAACTTTTTATTAAGTTAAAAAAGTTAATTTGTTTACACAATGCTAGCGTACTTAATTTTTTCCAACCCAAAACTAAACTTGTTTGTATACCTTATACGGTATTTTCATACAAGTTAAATTCAAATGATATACATTTTTAATTTTAAACAATTCATGGTAAATATTTTTTGACATGAAAACGAAATAGTCTGAAATAGTGAAATATAATAAAATAAAAAACAAAATAAATTAACTTAACTTACTTCTTAAAATGAAAAATTAATTCGTAAATTTCACGTTAATTAAAAAATAAAATTAGGAAGTTAACAGTTAAGTTAATGAAAATCCAAAAGTAATTAGTTAAGTTAAAAAGTTTAAATTAAACTAACTTTTTAACTTAACTTCAACTTTTTAACTCGTTAATACCCAGCCTTGGAAACGTATAGGTTTTTCAACGCTACTCCGACCACCAGAAATATGGTGGAATGAGAAAATGTATTAAACATTTGTGACATTAAAAACGAAATGAGTATTCGTATTTTTGCGACATGTCTACAAACATCTTTAATTAAGGATAAACACCATGAAATGAATGGTAATCTAAATTTTAAAAATTCTTCGGATTTATTTGGTCTCCTTGACAATCACTTTCACGATCGATTTCCATACTTAGTAATTCGATAAGTTTTCATTACAATATACACATAATATTAAAAATAGATAGTTTTATTAATAAAGTCAAGTAGAGGTACTTAATATTCTTAACTAAACAGTAAACACAAGAACTTAGAAGAATTGTTTATGATTTATAATAATATTCGAACAAACATGCCCAGTTGCATTAGTTAAAATGTATACCACCAGAGTGCGTGTCATACCTTGGCGATTCCCAATAGAATTTCACGAATTTTGAGATCAACTCCTATTGAGTATTCACCATTGCGAATAATGCAACACTCTTAAACTATAAAAATAATAATATCATAAAATACGCGCGACCCAATGTTCGAGTTGGTGGAGAGCAATTAATCATAGGTTATGAAGGAGATAAAGATCATATTATTGTCCTTTCAATCACACCATTCGGTGAATTTTTGCCAGGGCTTGAAACCGATTGAAATAATTTCGGTTTCGGTTTCGGTTTTGAATACCGGTTTCTAAATTTTTCGGTTTCAACTTAGCAATACCGGTTAGGTTAGATATACCGGTATCAAGAAATTTCGGTTTCGGTTTTGTTTACCGGTTACTAAATTTTTATAAACGGATTTCCAAGCAAAGACTTGAAATTATAATTTAATGGTTTTATACTACTGCGTATTAATGGAATTCGAGTATTTAAAAACACGTCAATTGAAAAAAAAAGTACAGTTTCCAATTTTTTTAGATGTCGGTTTTGACTTTGATACCGGTATCCAATTTTTTTCGGTTTCGTTATTGTTTACAGTTTCGGTTTCTGTTTTAAAACGATTTATACTGGTTTCTGAAATCGGTTTTGAAAACGGTTTCAAGCCCTGAATTTCGTGTTACTGAATGCATAAGAAAAAGAATACGAATTATTTTAATTTACATTGTATTATATATTTTTAAAAAGTTTTATTAATATTTTATTGTTTTTTATTAAAAAAAAATTACTATTTAAGATAAAATATGTCAATATTGTTTGAAAATGTGGTTACATAAAAATAATAATAGTTTTATTATAATATATTTAAAGTTCAGGAATATGCTACTTTTATTTAATTATTTATGTTAAACTC